GATTACTATTATGAGCTTGTAAAAGGTTTATAAAAATTATATACTACTAAATAAAATAGTTTCTACTCTAAATTTATTTACATAGTATATGAAAGCTCAAAACTAGTAGAAAAATACTTCTTTGACCATAAAACATAGGGGTCAGTACTTGATCCAAGTTGTAAAATATTGTTTAATTAAATTGTTGCATTCGAGATATATGCCTTGATGTGTTTGTTATCCTGTTATACTAATTTGAGAAGTAAACAATACCAACTATTTTGGTATATATGATATCGATCTTTTGGAGAGAGTAAGCTGAAATGTTTACTTTTTACAAAAATTTTCTTAAAAAAAAGTGGTAGACTAATGAGAGTATATGAGGTTCTTTTTGTAAGAGTTATAGTAGTATAGTTTTATTCCTCTGTTCCTACTTGATATTCTTGTATAGAGACCTAACAGTGATATTGCTCCCAAAATATCTATTTGGTTTAAATATTAAAGGTATGGAGAAGTCCACTTCTTTTTCTTTGCTGTTCCTAGAGACTTCTCCAGTTTGAATACTAAACGTACAAAAGAGTCCATTACACAAGACGAAAGGACTTGACTTTTGTACAAACCATCTATAATATCCATATCTCGATATATTACGTTTACAAACTTTGTTGACAATAGTTTGTAAAAAAAAAGCTTAATCCAAAATACTAGACCCACTTTTTGTTATATGTCTGCTTCTTGGTATTTCATGTATATAAGCTTCATCGATAGCAAGTAGTGTAAGTATATAGCAAGAGTATTGTGGTGTCTACTTTGTCACTTTTCTATAACTTTTTACTATAGTTTGATTTTTTTGTTGTTGACCAAGAGATCATTGGAGGGAGTGTGTTTAAGAAATATTTTTGATAAAAGAAAGAGAGTTTACTATATATATAATATAATAATTTTATTAAAAAATTAATAATTCAATATTTAGCATTATTTGTAAGTATTAACTATAGCCAAAATATAATTATATTGTAGATTATAAATATAATTAAATAATTTTAACAAGATATATAATTGTTAACTATTAATTAATAAGAAAAAAGTTTTTAATAAATTAAGAACTTAAAGAAAATCCAAGAATTATTAAAACAAATTACTTCTAAATATAAACTAGATAAGTTTTTGTTCTAATAAAAATATTGTACAGTTAGACCTCCCTAAATACAACCTTCATAAATGCAATACCTTCCTAAATACATGTTTTTGTCTTGGCTATATGAAATTATTAATGCTAAATGCACGTTCTATATTCTGCAAATACACATTCACTCAAAAGATTTTTTATATCATACTAATTTCCCTAAGTGTATGTAACAAATCAGAAGTCAGTATTTAAGTTTATTACACAAGTCTGCAGATCAAATATTAAAAACTGCAATTTGATTGGCTTCTTCTAAATGCAAACCTCCCTAAATACATGTTTTAGGCTGGTCTGTACATATTGCATTTATGGAGGTTTGACTGTAGCTATAAATAAAAATAGATAATATACTATTTTTAAATAATTGTTTCTAAATAAACAAAAACAAAATTACCAAATTACAAAAAAAATATAATCAGATCTTGATATAATTACCAGGTTAGGAAACAAGCATTTGGTGATTATAAAAAAGTATGACTATATAAAGGTTAAAATTTTATATATTTTATAATATCTAGGATTAAGAAATAGTATGACTAATAACAAGGTTGTAACTATATCAAAAGTGACTATAACGAGGTCTGACTATACTTTATATAAAGTTTTCTGAGTTTTCTAGTAATATTAGAATAATAAATTTTAAAAATTATGTGTAATTTGATTGGTCAATTATCACGGGTAATCACGGGTTAGATCACGCAAATATTGACCAATTAAAACAAACTTCCATCATGCTAGCATAGCGAAGAACCCTTAAATTTATGCAATGTGATACAAAGATTATATATTTTTTTGATGCATTTTGGCCAAAAATGGGGGTCGTCTAAAGCCGTGTCCATCACATGACATAGAGCCAATAGAATTGTTTATTTTGATCGACACGGATCAGCCCGAAGAGACAAAAACAACGAAAAAAAAGTGAAAATCGCAAAAAATACAAGAAACGATAGTCTAAACCCATCTCGGTGCATTAATAAAAAATGTCGGGAGGACAATTTTACTATAAGATTTGCCCTGAACCTAACCCCAAACTAACCCTTAACTTAATTTTAATAAAAAATCGAAAACACGTGACTGGACACGGCTTTAGACGTCCCCCAAAAATGGTTATCTTTTTGATGCATCTTTGTAAATACTATGAAGATCATGTCAAAAACGTAATTTGGAAATTTTTGTCAGTCACGCCGCGTGTCTAAATTTGTACTTTAATACGTACAACAAAAATGATGTGTTCCGGATCTGTTACGCATTTTCCTAGTATTTAATTCCGTACGTAGTAAGATTAAGTTCTAATAATAGCTTAGCATGGCAACATTGACATACGTAAACGACACTCTCAACATGGACGACAGGCGGCACTTAACGTTAACAACATTGTAAATAGATGTTGCATAATGATTACAAACCAATCAGATCACAAATCAAAAATTCTGTCAAATGCATTTGATCGAAATAGATGCCTGTCTTGTTTTAGTTTACCATGTGAAAATCCATCCCTGCATATAAAAAAAATTCTGCACCCTCGGTATTTTTGTCGCCTTAAAGGCGTTTCTGTTTTCTCGTTAATGTTCCCGTCAAAGGAAGGAATTTTTATATATACATAAAATTTATCCCTTTCATTTGACTTCTAAATAGGGGCCTGTCCCCTTCATAAAAAGCTCCGCTCTTTTTTTGTTGACAAAAACATTACGGTATGTACTATTTATTATGTTAGTGCATAAACCGTGATTTTCAGAAAGTATAACGCATAAAATTTTTTTTATTTATTTGTTAATATATTATGATGGATAATAATACATCCTTATTCCTTTTGTTCGCAACGAAATTTTCCTTCCCGACTTAAATAGAGATACACTTGTGTTTCTCCTCGCCTACAATATTATTTAGGGTTCCAATTTTCGAATTTTCGATAAATCACCAAAAATAAAAAAAAGGAAAATTTCAAAAATGTCTAAATTTTTAAAAAACTTGATAAACAAAAGTACTTTACAGAAAAGTATCACGTCATCTAGTGCTTATCAAGATGATGATGAAATTAATTATGCTACCGAAACAGAAGGCTCAACAGAGGGTTCGTCTGTCTATGGAGCATTTCCTGTAGAATCATCATACTCAGCCGATTATAGTTGTACAGAAACTGCTAAAGATATCCAGCTCATATTTGAAGGTGAAAATAAAGATACTTTCGTTCTCGTTCCTGGTTTCTTACCTTATGGTACAATTAAATTACCATTTTGCGGTGGAATTATTGTTGCTGACTATTGGAGAGATGTAAAGGAGCAGATTGATGATCCTTACATAACTAATCCCAATTCCTTTAGTGTAAGTATACTCATTTCTGCATTCATTTTGAAACTCATGGAGACAATGAATGAATAATTAATTTTGTTAACTCTTACTATTATTATTATTACTTTTATTATTATTATTATTACTTTTATTATTATTACTTTATTATTATTACTTTATTATTACTATTACTTTTATTATTATTTTTATTATTATTACTTTTATTATTATTATTACTTTATTATTATTACTTTTATTATTACTACTTTTATTATTATTATTTTTATTATTATTACTTTTATTACTTTTATTATTATTATTATTATTATTATTATTATTATTATTATTATTATTATTATTATTATTATTATTATTATTATTATTATAACTCTTATTATTATTATTATTATTATTATTATTATTATAACTCTTATTATTATTATCATTATTAATTATTATTATTTTATTACTGTTAATCGTAATTGTTACTTATCAAAAGTCTCTTCATGATCGTGCGGTAGAATTATATTATCAAATTAAGGGTGGTCAAGTGGTAAGTATTTTTAATCTATGATTTTATTAATGATTTAGTATTAATTATATTTGATATGTTTAGGATTATGGTCGCGCTCATTCTCGTCGATTCTGTCATAAGCAATTGGGTCAAACATATGAAGGTTTGGTACCCGATTGGAGTCCTGAGAATCCAATCGTCTTAATTGGTAATGTTAAACTGTAATATCAAGTTTTTTAAACTTTCACTCTGATAATATTAACTTGTAGATTTATATTTTATTAGGTAAGGGCTACGGCGCGACGACTGCACTTCATCTTCAGCATCTTCTATCTACTAATTTTTTCGGTCAGCATACCTCTGGAAACATGATCAAGGGTGTAATTTGTTGGTCTGCTCCACATCGTGGTTCTACTCTTCCTTATTACCTTGGTCTTGAACCTGGTTCAAAATGTATCGTGAACCCTATCTCAATTCTTCAATTATTATTATCACTTATTCATTTAGCATGCTATTTTTCCTTTCTTGAACGCTTTTTTAATTTTCATCTAAATGATCAATGGTATCTTGCATCAAAGAGTGAAGGTGGTGAACAATCTTTGTGTAGTGCACTTACTGCACGTAGCAGGTTTACCTATTTTGGTGATAATTTCTTGGTTGACTGGTCCGTGGAGGGTACAAGAATTCGTTACTCTGGTGATGAAAAAGATAAACATATTTTGGATCCAAATTGTGTCTACATAAATTATGTTTCGACCTGCCAAACATGGAAATCAAAAATAACTGGTTATCATTGGGTATGCTTGATTTTATAATAGTTTTGTTAATTTTATGTTAATTTTATTATTACATCTGCATTTACAAATTATTTAATTTTAATAGCCACGGTTATCATGGAGAAACTTACCTACCATTTTTATTTCATTTATTCTTGGACGTTATAAATTTTCACCTGACGTTGAACAAAAAGTTTTGCGCACAGCTTCTTCTACTTTTTGGTCGAATGATGGTTCTCTTTCTGTTTACTCTCAACAACCTCCTCCGCATCAAGAGGTTTTGATGAACATAGCCCTTGATCAAAGACTTTATGATCCCATAGAACATGAAATCACTCCTGGTGTTTGGTACAATGTATATGTTGATGATCGTACTCAAACCTTTTTATTCGACAATGAACCTATTTTGGCTATTCTACCGTTAATTGAAAATATACTTAAATGGTCTCTCATAAAGAAATTGAATGAATTTCTAATGCGTTATATTGATGATTTTGAATCATTTTATGTTAATTTAGTTGAATACTGCGAATTTAAATTGGTTTCATCTGGACAACTTGATGATAATGTTGATACTTCTTCAAAATCATTCAATACTACTACTATCTCTGAACGTGTAGAGAAATACTCAAGTGACAAAGCTGGACTCGATTGGATCCATAAAATTGAAACAATTGAAATTCTTAATAGTCCTAGTAAAATGTTTTATTGGGTAAAAAAATATCAAGCGAGTTTAGAAAATGGAATTTTGCCTGAATGTGGAATTAATGATAAAATTTCTGGTAATCCATTCACCGCAACTCCATTTATGCAAGGGCCAACGTTCGTTAAAGCTAAACATAAATTAACTGCTGAAGATTATAAAGCATCAGTGATTTAGTTTATTTAGTGTGAACAATTAGGGTACGCGGGATTTTAAATAAAATTTTTTTGGGGGATAGATATACCTTTTTTTTTTTATATAAGTATTACATTTGCATTTTTTTTTTTCGATATATTGGAATTAATAATAAACAAATATGAATTTCACTACGTATTATCGTTCTATTTTTGCTTGATCGTATGTAAATGAATTCCAGCTATCTAAAATAACACTAGCGATATCATACATAGACGATTTAGTTACGTACGTGATTGTCATAATGTCACTTTAAATTAGGGATGGCAAAATGATTTTTATGTTCCAGATTTAACTATCCCTGTTCTAAACAGGTGAAAAAATCTTTTTACCTGTTTTTTTTTTTTTATCATCCCTATTTTAGATAGATTGATACACGTGATTCGGTATTAGACTAGAAGTGACTTCTTCGTGTTGACCGTACGAGTGAAAATCTGTAAATGATCGTAATAAATTATTAAATGTAGTTACAAGTCTTCACTTTGCAACACTCATATACCAGGATGCCCAGACATTTTGGCGTCTACAAATTAAATTCTATAATTTTTTTTTTATTCTAAAAAAGCTATGATTAAAATACGTAACAATTATTTCTAAGCGTTAAAAAGGGTTGACCTAACCCTTCAACCCTATTTGTCTAATTAGACAGATCTGACCGAAAAACCTTAAAATGATTATATTAAAACTAATATTTAAATTGACCTTGGTGTATTGATTAAAAATATCGGGAATAAAATTTTACTTATAACGAGTGTTAAACTGTTTCGGCCCTAACCTTAAATTTTTATTTCACGCACTCAGTTTGTTTACAAAATCGGATTTCCTTTTTTGGTTTGTATCACTAGCGAAAGGATAGGTAAAACTCGCCTCGTATGATCCAGTGATATTAACATTATATCATAAATACGTGCTACTTAGTGAATTGACTCGATAAAAAAATCATTGCTCGATGATTTACCAAAAAAAATTTTGCTTAATCGATCAAAAATCAATTATATAAACTTGATCGAGTATGATCGATCAAGCATATAATTTATAAGCTTGAGTATATATAATCGACCAATTATCAGGTCAATAATTGATCGATTATATCTTATCTACTAAAAAAACAATCTAAAAATAATATATAGTTATTAGTCGTGTAGTGACCAATAATGTATACTTATTTGTCGAAAATTTTTGACGGATAATCAGTTATTGGCCGCTTCGTGGCCAATAGCTGAAAATTTATCCGTCAAAAATTTTCGACAAATAACATTATTATTCGTCTAAGATTTGTTAGATGTATTCGGCCGCGATAGCGGCTGAATATCATCTAATAGATCTTTGACAAATAATGCAGTTATTGGTCTCTTACACGCCTAGTAACGGTATTATCCTTCTGTCTACGACGATCTGCATATGATAATTTTGTTATTGTGATCGGTAAATAAAAAATAACTAAAATTATCAATTGATGCAGATCATAGTAGACTGAAGGATAATAATGTATTCTATAAAATTTTCTTGATCGATTAAATTCGACTATCTGATCGATCAAACATTATTGATCAATAAATTGACCTACTTTTGATCGAGTCTGCAAAATCATGCTCGACTATTGACTCAACTCGATCAATAATCGATTATGATATAGTCGAGTCAATTTACTAAGTGCTACTTAAGTCAAATTTTTTACAGTAGTTCTTTTTAATTTAATTTTCCTGCAATGGCAACCACAGTTTCAGGAATAGAGAGTAACTTCATCAGGAAATTTTTTTTGAAGATTTGCATCGATTGTTAGCAGCAGAGGTGATTGCAATCGATTTTTTTATATAATATATATCAATTATTGGTTATATATCGATATATATCACTAACGATATATATCGATTATAGTTATATATTGATATATATCACTAACAATATATATCAATTATTATAAAATTTGTTAAATTTTATCAAACTTTAACATAGATTTTCTCAATAACTGTCAATTGAAATTGGTTGAAATTTTTATTATAGATAGTATTGGTATTCAACTATAATATATAAAAATTTTAACCAATTATAATCACTGGTTTACAAGAAATCGCTTGTATACAATAGTTAATTTTTTTTAAAAAATTAACTATCATATACAATCGATTTCTTGTGAACCAGTGATTATAATTAGCTAAAAATTTTATATATTATAGTTGAATATTAATACTATTTATAATAAAAATTTCAACCAATTTTAATTGATAGTTATCAAGAAAATCCATGTCAAAGTTTGATAAAATTTAACAAATTTTTTGCTATATAGCGTTATTTATTACTAATGTTTATACTCAGTAGCAGTGTTTAAAATTGGGTTGCAGAGCTTGCAGACCGCAAATGATTTATAAATTTCCACAACTAAAATCTGAAATGTATATGCTGGTTCTGCAAATAAATTGTAATTTGTATATAGAGATGTTTGAATTTGTATATAAATACATTCATATGCACAACTAAATCTATATAATCCACAAGTAAAGTTTTTTATTTAGTTGCATCTGCAACTAAATTAAAAATTGAATTTCAGACACTGCTTAGTAGAGGTGATATATATCGATTATAATCTAGAGATTATAATCGATATATATCCTAAAAAAAATTTAATAATATTTGGGGTTAGTGAAGCTAGTGGCCATTCAAAATATATAGTATAAAAAGTATAAAAACAATTGGGTTATATTCTAAAAAAGCTAGTTAACTTGATTCAAGATAATACTGTATCATTATAGAATATACAGTATAAAAATACAAAGATAATTGGGTCATATTCTAAAAAAGCTAATTAATTTAATTTAAGATAATACTGTATTATCATAGAATAATGTCCTGAGGCATTATTTCAAGAAAAAAATTCTAAACTGAGTTAATAATTAATTTTACCAAAGATTTTTTTAAACTTACTATTAAATAAATATTAAGGTTTAAAAAAAATCTTTAACAAAATTAATTATTAACTTATTTTAAAATTTTTTGTCTTAAAATAATATTTTGGAGTGTTATTTCATAATAATATAATACAGAATCTAAAGTATTAATAATGTATTCTATTTTTTTTTAAAATATATATTTTGAATAAACCAATAATCTGTTTCTACTAAGTGATTAGTTAAATTGAAAATGAAGTTAATACAAAACTACACAAAGTACATGATATGAATATTTTAAAATTTAAATTATTATATATAAAAGCTAAAGACAAGAAATATGATAGAAATTTTTGAAATGATTTATAATATTTTTAATGCTGAAATTGTTGACAATAAATTATTTATCAAGGTAGAGTACTGTTTTTGTTTTGTAATTATTTTATTTGCATTTTTTAATTTTTTTGTTATAATTTAAGTTTAATATTAAGATTAAATTAGAAATATATAAGAAAGTGGTATATTTGCTTAATCAACTTGGTAAAACTAGATTAATACAGTATATATAATTAATAATAATTAGTATTAACTTAATATAGATGGTTAAAACTCTAAACTAGCATATAATTAAAGAATTAAATCTATAATTAATTCATGTTCACTACCATTGCTATAGATTAAGGTGAAGATCTTATTCTCTTCAGAACTATACAATTATTTCTTAACAATTAACTAAATATTGATAGGTGATTTATGACAATTCTGATAATTGTAATAATACTATAAATAAATTAGTACTTGCTTAACCTCATTGTCTAACTACAGAATTTGTAATCATTATTATTTTGATTACTGAAACCATCTTTTAGCAAATTTAAACCCAGGTGTTATTTTTTTTTTTTTTTTTTTTTTGGTGTTAAGGTGGCCTCTTGGCCGGCTCCTTTTATTCGGTTATAGTTAAC